CCCCTCTTCGCCTCCCCACCTCACCACCTCCCCTCTTTCACTCCCCACCTCACCCCCTCCCCTCTCTCCCTCCCCACCCTGTCTGTTTTTCAATGTTGCCACGAGCCCATCCTCCTTCATATTGACGATTTTGACCTCTGCATCCCTCCTCATAAATAAGTATAATCCTCTCCCCTTTCAACCAACATTGTGAATACCTTTTGCGGACAGGGCATTTCATGCACATGCTAGTATTTAGTGAGGGAACCTTCTCATTCCACATTATTTACTGATTGTGGAATTGCAGAATGTTGAGGACTGCACAGCAGCACACTCCGTATCCAGACACTGCCAAATCTAATCCCTCCATATTGTTCGGTTAACTCCCTTTCATCCACTGTTATTTTTAACTCCCATGGGCAAAATATACCACTTGCTGTTCATTTTCACTTGCCCTGAGTGCAATTTACCTCTCTAAGGTTATCATTCTGAACCACAGCTCCGGTGCATCACGTGTGCATCGCTTGCGCAAACGCACATGCATGCGCGTGTACGTGATGCGGCACAACCATTAAAATAGGAGTGGATGAAAAAAATTGGGAGGGGCGGGGTGTGGTGGCACACCCCACCCCTCCCTTTGTAAAATTGCTCGTAGACGAAGTGAACAAGAATTTGCGACCGCAAACGACAGCAACCTCGTGTGTGTGTGTGTGTGGTGTATCCGGCCCACTACAGTCATAACGAGGCTGCACTATGTACAGGGCCCACGTATAGCTCTGAGGTGGTGCATTGTGCACAACACAACGCTTCCTCATTATGACTATATGTGGTAGGCACTCAACATGCGAAACGAAAAACAAAACGACTTCATCTTGCCACAGAACGTAACGTGATACATCCATCTTGGCACGTTTTGTCGCAAGATGAACTCTACTTTTTTCCTTAGCAGACAGGGTTGCATACCTGCCGACTGCCGACCATTTTGCAACCGACCAGTAGGGCCGACCGGTCGGCAGTCGGCCGACCAGTCAGAAAACAGCCATCCACTGATTGTCTTTCAAATCTGAGTTGAGGGTTGTACCCCACTTGCTGAGTACAGCCGAAATCCGCTGAGAAACTTTTGGGAATGGGGGGTTGTAGGGGGTGGTATAGGGGGGGTATT